AAAAAAAAAAAAAAAGAAAGCTATTCTTAAATAGTTATGGAAGCATATATAGCAAAAAAAAAAAAAAAAAAAAGCCTGAAAGACTGCACATGCATTCTCTCCAGATTTTGTGATTCTTGGTTCTTCTAATGATATTGCTCTTGTTAATCTTTAGTTTCTAATTTTGTTCCAAAATAAACACACATTTATACAATAACTTTTACAAAGATAAAAATAGTTTATATTAAAAAGTAAAGATGTATAAAAAGAAGAGATGAGCGTATATAGAAAGTATGAACTTAATTTTTATATATGCGATTTAAATACCGTATTTGTTTTTCTGTCTCAGGAGGAAAGTACACCAAACAGTTTTCTACAACCCATCCCGGGACAGCAGAAATAAAGGTAACTTACTTTCTTTTTACGGTTCGCATTTTCCTAATCTCACACAGTAATAATCAGGGACATGGGGGCTTAATATTTAGAAAGCAACAGCCATTTGTACTCCAAGTCAGGCCCACCCACCCCAGCAACAGGAAGCCCCGGCTCACACACCAGCCACGTAGCCCTGTCATCTCACAACGACAGCTGTGGGCCTTTCAGAAGGGCTCACTTTGCTGTGTAAACGGCTCTGGGTCATCATGAATATCTCCTCTCTTCCCAAATTCCCACATGTCAGTGGATCCAGAAGCCAAGCAAGGACATGCTTCCGTCTCCAGAGACAGAGCGTTTTCTCTGACCACTGCGGAATCCTACGTGGGCCCGTCTGGGTCCTCCAGATACAGGACACGCTGAGGCGTCTGCCCTAAGGTAGTGACAGGCCAGAAAACAAACGGTTCTGTCAGTGGCGTAGAGAGTCAGGCAAGGCACACTGAATGCTAACGAACTCCTTAGCATCCGTACAAAAGGCTTTTTAACTAGTTGATACCTACAATCCCCCTAAGGATGAGATGCATTTAAAAATCCATGAACAAAGTATAGGCCAAAATAATTACCTCTTCCTTTTCATGGAGCATAACATGCGCTTTGAGACTAGCCACTCTGGAGAATTTCTTGTTACACACAGGACAGGTAGGCTCTTCCCCATTGTGGGTGCATTTGTGAAGTGTCAGGTTGAATTCAACATTAAATGTTTGGGGGCACTGGTCACATCGATGTGGCTATTTGGAGAGAAAAGTCAAGAAGCCACTGAAATACAATCTTTCCACAATAAATGCCATTCAAATATCAACAAGTACCATAATCCACAGGCGATCTAAGAACGTCCCGTCTGTCCCGCAACTAAGTCGGTAAATCCAAAATGGACACAGCCAAGCTCCCTACAGAGTTTCTCAAAGGATTATAAGGACGACAAGTCGTCCACGCAGAACAGCACACCCCCCCAGGAAAAGGCGCTGCACGTCAGTGTAGCGGGTACAGTCTCCACGGACATGAACGTGAGGGACTCTGCTCCGGGGGTGGGTTGTTCCCTCTTTTCTGACCAAGTCCACCGCTCTAAAGAGTCACTTCAAGTAGAATCAGTAATCATAAAAACCTTCACTAGATTTGAAGACAGTTGCTTATCGCAGTCTAAAATTTTCCCCAAATGAAAGGCGTTCTGCCACTTCCTCGTAGAAAGATAATCACTGGTATTTCTCTCTGAATATCAAGGCACAAGAGAGTATTTTCAGGTTTTCAACGTAGGAGCGTAATACAGCTGATACCGGTACTAGCAACAGCACGTGTTAACATATATTCTAGTTCACAGTCGCGCTGAAAACAAAGCCAATTAGTCATGTCCTGTTCCCTGGAGAAGAGGTCCCTGGCATCGTCCTGACCTACGTGCTCCAAACCGAGGGGAAATCAACGGTCATTTTTTCATGGTCGTTTTAACTGCCATTTTCTATCTGGCAGGCACATCATTCCATTAAGACACTAATACTCTTAACTGAGTCCACAAGGGCCCCTGCCAAAGAGGATTCCAGTCTCTGAAGTGTTATTCCCTGCAGAAATGCAATGGAAAATCCCAGGAAAACCACTGTAAAGCAAGCCCACTTGGAGATAACACTCCCTGTTGGAGAAAAACACATCAAGATACACCAGTTCTGCACAGTCACTCTCAGGAGCCAACCCCACTCCAAGTCCTGCTTTGAGATGACTTCTCTGTCCACGGACTCAGAACTCTGACACACAGATGCGCTGGACCAGCTCCCGCGTCACCTCACCAACCAGTGAAGGCTTAGGACTGCGTCTACAACTAAGCACGGAACGTCGAGGTAGGTGTTCGTGAAGATAAAATGCCCAATAATTTAGGGATCTAAGTTACAAGAAAAACTTGCGTTTGGCATGCCAGTTGTTACAATACCTCCAGTTTCAACGCTCACATTTCTGACAACCCTCTTGAGAATACATACCTTGTCATTTCGCTCGTGATCCCTCATGTGGCGTTGAAACTGGGACTCTTTTGGAAAAGATAGCAGACAGATTTCACACTTATGGAAGTTTGGAACTTGATAGGCATAATTAGTGTTCTCCGCGTTCAATGTTAAAACTCCATCTATAAAATTGCATAAGTATAGACAATAAATACCAGTTGTTATTCTCATCACACAAATAAAACTAAATTACGTGGTTATTGTTTAGAAGCCAAAGTACGTCAGAAATTAACGGGAGAATTTTGAAGAAATTCATGGTGTCTTCAGTTTTTCGAAAGGACATGATTTTAGGGCAGACACAAGGAATGCTGGGAAGACTGAGGCACAGGACAGCAGGACTGTAAGCCTCTGCTGGTAGGGTCGTTAGAACCTGAAACTAAACTGCTGAGTTGACATCCACCCAAAGACACACAACAGCCATGACGTCTCTTATCCTTGCCTTCATGCTTCATACGGCTTCAAAGTCACTGGAAATCCCAGAGGCATTTCGTCTCTAAGTCCATCGGTAGCCCACATGGATGATCTCAAGTCGCTCAGCAAACAAAACTCGAGTAGAAGCATAAAAGCTAATTCACTAATTCAATCTACCTCTGAAGACTGCTGCAGAGCGAGATTAATCAGAGAGGAAAAACTTCAGTTCTGCCACATGGCCAGGGTTTAGGAACACCTTTGTCCACAGCGCTTTGGACAATCCCTAGGCTTCATGACGTGCTTCTATGGACCCACGTAGGTCAACGGCTATAAACACAAAAGTATTTTCAAATAAAAATATGTACTACTCACAAAGATTTGTCAGGAAGCTCAGAAAATAAAGACGTCCTAAACCTCCGCAATTCTTTAAAATAATAGACTCCAAGTCTCACAATGTAGGCACAAATATATAGAGCACATAATAATGATACAAAAACTTGAAATACATTACATATGATTCTTTGTATCAAATTTGACTCAAAAGTATTGAAATCTGGAAATCTGGAAGTAAAGTAGGGTTGATTTTAAGACTCAAGTAAGCTCCAGAGTCTCTTGTTTCTCAAAAGTCCACGTGGTAAACACCGGCATTCCCGATTTTCAACGACCTTGAAGTCCCTCCTTTGAGAAAACAACCTGCAGCCCGGCTTGGCCCGGAAGTCCCCACCCTACAATGGCACCTGCGCAAGCAAGAAGCGAGGAAGCCTCCAGATGGGAGGCGGCGGCAGCCACAGAGGAGGTGGGAGCAGAGAGAGCCATGGAGAAGGCGGGCGACACCTCAGAAATTCTTCCAGCAGACCCTTTCGTAAAGCAGATGACAGATTAGCAGAGGACAGTTTCCAGAAACACTACTATAATTCAACAGAACAACTTCATCCAGAAACAGAATGGGCCACCACGGAACTCCTATTGTATCTACTCGTCACTATATCCACGTTATGTTCAAAGACCATGTATTCAAAATTTCTACTTTAGTTCAATTAGTAACAAAAGGGTTTACACTCTCTGGGCCCAAATAAAATGATTGTTGGGACCACGTCAGTAGATATATTATTCCCTTTGGGAAAGTTTATACTATGGAAAGAAATAGTTTAGACATTGGGAATGTTCAAGTAAAATATGTGTTGAAAATTGTGTTCTAAAACTCTAGTGAGTGTTTCCACCTAATGGCTGAATGAAGTCATGAGAAAGCTCCTCACAAGAAAGCAAAATTAAGGGGCGCCTGTGTGGCTCAGTGGGTTAAGCCTCTGCCTTCAGGTCAGGTCATGATCTCAGGGTGCTGGAATCAAGTCCCACATCAGGCTCTCCGCTCAGCGGGGAGTCTGCTTCCTCTCTCTCTGCCTGCCTCTCTGCCTATTTGTGATCTCTGTCTAATAAATAAATAAAATCTTCACAAAAAAAAAAGCAAAATTAAAAGGCTATTTCAGGAAGTAGAATGAAACAATGTTCACAGTTTCTTATGTTGAAACTGCTTAAAGTTACCCCGAAATGAGAAAGGATGTAATTAACTACAACTAATAGATAAAACCCTAAGAGATAAGAAACTACACATTTAAAACCGAAAACAACATTGTTTTGCTTTATGAATTAAGATTTTTCCAGAGAAGATTTTTATTTTAAGAAGCAAGATTTCCCTGTATAACAAAGCTCAAAACATAATAAAATCCCATTTTCACTAAGTCCCCTCCCCCAGTGATAACACAATATTAATTTGGTTCAAAGACAAACTTAAAACAATGCAAATTCCAATTAAGGCATAACTGGAGGAGAAAGCATGGTGCAGTTTCCACACTGAGCGTAATTTTAAAATCCACAGCATCTCCCGACCGGCACAGCGGGAGCCCACTCTGTCCCCAGCCACGGCCCGCACTGGGGAAGCGCGTCCGTCTCTCCAGGGGCAGCCGGGCTCCCTCATCCACACTTCACTGCCTCTCTGGGTAGTGCCTAGGCCTTAACCCCTCTGCCTATCACCTCTTCAAGCTCATTCAAATGTCTGGTCCGCAAAGTATGTGTTTTCCAGAAAGAGGTCTAGGAAATTGACGGATCCTGAGGACACGCTTCGGGAGGCCCACGAGCCCTGTGAAAACTTCACGCAAACACTCCCCGTCCACACATTTGCCCGCCGCAGGGGCGGCCGGGCCGCGTGAAAATTCTGCAGCCGCAGAGGCCACCAGACGTCCCGCGGGGCCAGGGATGGCAGGAAGGCAGGGCCGCACGAAGGGCAGCCTCTTAGCGGTCAGCCCCCTGGAGGCTGCCAGCGGAGGGGCTTCCCGGGGGACTCCGGCCCCACATATTCCTCGTGTCCCCAAATCAGCACAGGTAGTGTCTGCAGCCCCCACACATGACAGAAGCACGGAGCCACGTGCACTCCGCAGCGCTCAGATCTCCGCGCTCACCGGGGACAGGATTCTGCCCCCGCACCCCGCCGGGGTCCCTGTGAGATTTCAGGCAGGCAGGGCGAGCCCGCGGCGGATTCCAGCTGGTTTACCCAGACAGCCACCTTACACACACGCACGCACGCACGACCACATTCCCTTCGACCCCTCACCCTTCCCGAACCAAGAACTCGGACTCACTACCGAACGTAAACACGAACCAGTGGCAAAAACCAGAAACTGTCTGAGCAGCTGTTTTCCTTGAAAAACGTGAAGACTCGTTTCAACATCAATTCAGCTCTTTACACGGACGTGCTCGATCGTATAGAAGAATAACCACTCATCAGCCAGCCCCCCGGATAATAAAGCCGACCTCCGAGCTTGCAGATTAAATGAGAGAATGCTTCCAGACGCGTGGGCGACAAGAGCCCACCAGCGGCTCAGGAGAGCAGCCGCCTCCCTAACGCTCTCCCTCGCCTCCGACGGCCCGGCCGGCCCTCCACAGCCACACTCCGTCACAGCGTCATTCAGGCCTGGCCCGTGATGGGGCCTGGACAAGTCCGCAAACTGCTCTTCTCCCAAGACCGACACAGCAATCAGCCCAGTCAGCTAAACCTTCCTGGCAAAGGTCTGTCCTTACCTCCGATCTGAAGAGCTAAACTGATCTTTTTTTTTTTTTTTTTTTAAAAAAAACCCGATGTGGGGCTCGAACTCACAACGCCAAGATTGAGTCACCTGCTCCACGGACTGAGCCAGCCCAGCACCCTGCCCAGTGGATCTCTTACACTAAATGCCTCTCTGTGATATGTGATGGTTCAGCAAACTGCATTTACAGCATTCCACTGATTCAACCCCAATTTGCATCTCCCAACTTAAACCCTCAAGCACTACGCACTGAAGATCTTGGCCATCCGTAAATCCTGCGGAGGCGTTTTTGATATTAAAATGGGATACACCAGTTTCAGTTTCTAAACTAACTCCCAAACTTTTTATCTGTTTTTATTTTTGTTTTGAATAAAAAATCTTCCAAAAAGTAGTTGAAATCTCTACTTCTCTCAACAGGCCCATCTAAAGAGTTTATTTACTTGAGAGAAAGAGAGCCCATAAGCATGAGCAGGGGGAGAGGGAAGGGCAGAGGGAAAAGCAGACTCCCCGCTGAGCAGGGAGCCTGATAAGGAACTGGACCCCAGGACCCGGGGATCATGACCTGAGCCGAAGGCAGACCTTAACCCACTGAGCCATCCTGGCATCCCTGTCTTCCAAGATCTTGTCCCCGAGAGCCCAGCTAACCATGGAGGGATTTTCTCAGCTTTTCATTCTGACATCAGGATGCTTTCTGAGGTCACCAAACAGGCCTTCGAGAAGTCTGACAACTGTCGCCCCTACTTCCAGTAGGGCCCCACTTCAGCTACCACACCTTCTCCTCCTTACTTTCGTGTGTGTGTGTGTGTGTGTGTGTGTGTGTGTGTTATTTCTACTCTTTTCTAGTTTCTTCTTTTCTCCTTCCTCCTGTTTTCTCCTGTTCGTCCCAAGCTGGTCATTCAGGTCTGAGCACAGCTGGACTTTTTCAGATCAAACTCTGCAGCGCTTGCACCCCTGACATCTTTCTACTCGGTCACTGTATCTCCAAAGCCTTGCACAAAGCCTGGCACATGTTCCATGTTTTTTAAATTCTGAAGCATTATAATGTATTACCTATTCAAAAGAGGTTAGGTTAAGAAGGAAGAAAACTTACTAAGGGGGAAAAGGTGAGTTCTACAGTCCATCCCCTGGTTGTAGAGCTAAGGAAACTAAGACCCCAAAAAAACTTAGCCACTTGGTCAAAATCACACAATTAGCCGGGGCAGAACTGGAAGTAATCTTGAACTCACAGTTTAAGACTCTCTCTTAATTAATCAGGCTCCCATGCCTCTCAAGGTCATGATTTCTGAGAGGACACCCCAATCTCAACCTTGTGCCTACTGTAAAAACAGCAAGTGAACGAGGGTTTTACCAACAGTATTTTATGTCAATTGTAAGCCTAACTCTGTTTAGTCTTTCAGTATAAAATACAGTCACAACTGGGAGTCAGGTCAAAGTACCCTGCTTGTCTAAACCATTAAGTGGTGTCAGTGAGACAATTTAGAGTCTAAAATACTGATACCGGCTTCATGATAAATGATATGAAATATTACCGGACAGAGAGTTAAGGAGTAATACCTGGTCAGAGACTCACTAAACAGGCCCTGCCAGGCTCAGGGTCTCTCGTGTTCCCACAGCAAAGCTCCCCTTTACCCAGATGTGCCTTCAATATGCCTGCTTTGTCAGTTCTTGTATCTGTGCGGACTTTCCTTTTCAAGCCTCATATCATGACACTGTCTCTATTTTTAAAAGAAGTATCAGTCCTCTTTCAAATATTTGCTTTTAGTACCCGTACATTTTTATTTCTAAAGACTTTAGACTCTGGTGGGTGTACACTTAGACACCACATGCATTATTCCAACTTAACAAAACGATGGTGTGTTCAGATTACAACAAAATAATACCTCCAGTGCCTATAGCCTCCCCATCTAGCTAAAACAATTCAAGGACCAAGGTCTAAAAGTAACAGGGCCTTTTTGAGCATGATCAGGGAGTGTACTGCTGAGAATAATGCTTCCCTTAGACAATGCAAAAAACTGATTTTCTGTATAAATAGAGTAATTTCTTGTGGATGTATTTGCTGCCATTATGCTGTTTCTCAGCTCCACAAACGTACCACATATGTTAGCACTGCGACAATCAAGTAGTACTAAAGGACGCCACAGAAAACTGTGGAGAGCCCAGTCCAAGATTCTGTCCCAATTTCCAATGAAGTATGCATGCACGGTACATACTATTTTTAATGTACATATCTCAAAAAATGGGTATCTCTGGATTAAAACATGGGTTACTGGTCACAGATTAGGGAGACGGTGATGGAAGCAGGGCTGGGAGTCACGAGCGTTAGGAAGGTCAGTCCCACTAAGTGCTCAGTAAGGGCTCTGGGAGCAGGTATCGCTGCTCAGCTCA